ACACCTGTATAATCCCAGAACCTGGGAGGGTGAGGTTGGAGGATTGAGAGATCAAGGACAGCCTAAACTACATATGGAGATCATGACTCAAAAGGAAAAAAAGGGTGATGTAGCTCAGGGGTAGGGCATGTGCTTGAGACCCTATCTCAAAAAAATAAAAAATAAAAAGGGGCTATTCTAGACTATTTTGGTCCATCCTGCTGCCTCATTCTAAAATTGCAAATAAACCCAATTAAGATCTGAAAAACTGAAAAAAGGGCAGATAATTATTTGGTATTCCTGCTGTGTCATTAAATATTAGCTGCTCTTACCTCACATACACAAACAGTAATTATGTAAAATGGTGGATATGTCATTGTGCTTCTAGTGTTTACTGTCTGAATCCATAACATTGTAATGTGCATTGAATATACATAATGAAATTTGTTTTTTGAATAAGAATAAGGCAGGGGTGGTTATGTAAGCTTAGTGGTAGATGACTGCCCAGCATGTGCAAGACTCTGGGTTCAGTGGTGGTGGTGGTGGGAGGTGTTAAGGAAGACCTACACACACTAATATGGAAAAATGTATACTACCAACTTAAAATATGTGCTATGACATTCTCTTTTTGAAACAACTACATTGCTTATCTCCCCCACCTGTTACTACAACATGAGGGATTTTAAATTTCTGAGACTTTATCCCAGAGTCTCCCTAGATTACTAGATGACCAAGTCCACAGTAGGTACCAAAAATTTCTGTTGAATAAATATTTACAAGGCATAAGAGGCATTCAATAAATACTTATTCAAATTGGAGTCAAGGGTGTAGCTCACTGGCATTCATTTTCACTTAACAATTGGTTAAAGATGAAGTCTTCTCTAAAAGAGCAGAAAGAAGCTGGCATGGTGGCCCACGCCTGTAATCCCAGCACTGGGAAGGCAGAGGAAGGTAGATCATCACCACAGCAATGACCAAGGTCAGACAGGGCACGGGCTTCATAAGGATCACAGCACCTAATAAACTAATAGTATTGATTAGGCTGGAAGGAAAAATACAGCATGCACAAGAAGGAAAATAAGAGATTATCCTGTGCTATTAGATACTGAAGGTGAGCTGGGCGTGGTGGCACACACCTGTAATCCCAGCACTCAGCAGGCTGTTGCACAGCCAGTTAAGGACAGCCTGAAAAAATAAAAGTTGAAGCCGGAGAGCCAGGTGTGATAGCCAACTCCTGCAATCTCAACTACTTGGGAGACTGAAGATGGAGAATCAAAGTTCAAGATTAGCATGGACAACTTAATAAGACTCTGTTGGAGATAAAAATTAAATAGTGGTGCATGCCTATAATCCTAGCACTTGGGAGGCTGACGCATCACTGAGAGTTTGAAGACTGCCTTGGACGAGATAGTGAGCTCAAGGCCAGCCTCAACTACTACAAAGTTGAGGCCTTGTCTCAAAAAAACCACTAAAAATAAATACACAAGGGCTGGGGACGCAGCTCTCTGTGGAGGCCCAGGTTTAATCCCTAGCCTGGGGCAAGGGTGATTAAAAACATTGTTGGTTGAGGGTAGGAGGGGAAACAAGATATTCCTAAGACCCAAAAGTGCTAGAATGTGAAGTGAAGCCATCCCTGCACATCCCCTACTCAATTTTACTTCAAGGAACTTACCTGAGCACAATTCTCACCGTTAGCAAACCAATCTGATCATAAAAACTAAGATACTATACACAGGGCTGTGCATATAGCTTAGTGGCAGAGCATGCACTAGGACCTGGGTTCAATGTCCAGCATGGGGGTGGGGGGATACACAATATCTGCTGGATTTTGTGGCTGTAGGATTCAGTCCACATTGTTTCCATCCCATGTTTGAACTTCTCCTTCCTTCAGCTCTGATATCACGTAAAAATTGTAGTTAAAGACAACAAAAATAATTGTGTTAAACATTAAAACAGTACAATACTATTAAATTTTCACTTTTGGGGTTAGGGATATACTAGGAATTGAAGTTTTTACTGAGTTGTATTTCCAACCCTATTTTTACTTTTATTTTGGGATAGAGTCTTTTTTTTTTGAGACAGGGTCTCACTGTATAGTTCAGACTGGCTTTGAATTCACTATATAGTTCAGGCTGGTCTCCAATTTTCAGTGATCTTGTCACAGCCTTCCAAATGCTAGGATTACAGGTGTACCCCACCACACCAGTTTGGGACAGGGTTTTGATAAATAGTCCAGGTGGGACTCAAACTTCCAATCCTCCTGCTTCAGCCTCCCTAAATGCTGAGATTATAGGCAAGCACCAGCACATCCAGCTTAATTCCTTAATCTCCTAATGCAGAATCAGGAGAAATGACTAAAGGAGAAAGTGAGTAAAAACAGAGCTTCTATGATATTTAAATGTATGAGGCATGGTGATACAATCCCAGCACTTGGGAAGCTGAGACAGGAAGATCACAAATTCAAGGCCAGCCTGAGCTACATAGGAGATCCTGTCTCAAAAACATAAAACTGTGGGCTGGGGATTTAGCTCAGTGGTTCCCGCCCCTGCCTCGCAAGCATAAGGTCCCCAGTTCAATCCCTGGTACCAAAAACCAAAACCAAAAACCAAAAAAAGACAAAACTGTTTGGGGATCTTTGAAGTGCGATTTCTTACACTACCAAAAAATAACCAAATAACAAATTGGACAACATCAAAATTAAAAGCTTTTGTCGGCCGGGGATTTAGCTCAGTGGTTTTGCCGCCTGCAGCGCAAGCACAAGGACTGAGTTTGATCCCCGGTACTCCCCCCCCCCCCAAAAAAAAAGAATTTGGCAGTTCTACTCCTAGGTATATACCCAAAAGGAACTGAAATATTCATTCACTGAAGAATGAATAAACAATGTAGCATATTCATACAGAATACTATTCAGTCATAATGTAATCAGTGATACTTGCTACAATGTAGATGATCTCTGGAAAATTATGCTAGGACACAGAAGGCCTCATGCTGTATCAGTCCATTTACATGATACGTCTGGAATAGGACAAAGCAGAAAGTAGATCAGTGGTTGCTTGGAGGAAGGTGAAGGACAGGGACAAGGGAGGACTCAATGCTAATCTAAGGAACACAAGGTTCTGCACGGTGTGGTGGTGCAGGCCTGGGAGGCTGAAGCAGGATTGCTGTGATTTGGAGACCAGCCTGGGCTACACAGTGTATATCAAGGCTATCCTGTATACAAAGTAAGATCCTGTCTCAAAAAACCAAAAATACAAGGGAGTTCCCTTTCCTTTCTTTTCTGAAGTACTAGCAATTAAGCCCAAGCCTTTGGACTGAGCTACAAACCCAGAAAGTTGAACTCACCAACATTGTCCAGGCTAAGTTTATCCTCCTATTCTCCTGCCTCAGGCTCCTGGAGTGCAAAGATTAGAAGTGTGCACCACCACACATGGTCACAGGGTATTTTTTTCATTCTGTACCAGGGATCAAACTTGTGACCTTGCATTTGCAAGGCACGCAGCGGCCCCAGTGAGCTAAATCCCCAGCCCAACACGGTATCTTTTAAGGGGGCCAAAATTGTGATGGCTGAACAAATTTATCAATGTAGAAAAAATATGGGACAGTACACGTTCCTTTTTTTTTTTTTTTTTTTTGGTACCGGGACTCGGGTCCTTGTGCTTGCGAGGCAGGCAGGGGAACCACTGAGCTAAATCCCCGGCCCCACTTTTTTTGTTTGTTTGTTTTTAAAGACAGGGTCTTACTATGTAGTTTAGGCTGGTCTTAAACTCATGAGGGAGCCCAGGCTAAGGTGATCCTCCTCCTTCAGCCTCCAGAGTGCTGGGATTACATATGGGAGCAACAGCAAAACCAAGTGGTACACTTTAAATAGGGGGATCACATGACACGTGAAATGTATTTCAACAGAGCCATTTAAATTCTATTAGGCTGGGCGTGGTGGTGCCTGCCTATAATCCCAACATTTGCCCATAATCCCAGCACTCAGGAGACTGGGGCAGGCCTATTCTAAATTCAAGGCTAGCCTGGGCTATATAATTGAGTTCAACATCAGTAAGACCCTGTCTCAAAAAAAAAACAACCACGAAAAAAATTCTATTACACACATTTCTGTCATTCCGGTAATTACACTTAGTAATCAGAATTGCCCTCCTAGGTAAGGAGAGTACCGGGTGCTTGGAATTATTTAAACTTCTCAACTTGTTTCCCTATTCAAATAAGGCAACTGCAAAGCCCGAGACCGTAACTTCCATTCCTTCTGGATCCCCCAGCGGAAAGTAAAAAACTCCAAAAGTACTTTTAAATGCCTGTTTAAAAAGGCGGCTACGGCTACTGAGCATGCCCGGCTTGGCCAAGTCAATTCAACAACATTCCACAACAAAAACTATTTCCCGCATAAGGAGGTGGAAAGGGAGAAAAAACCGGCAGGATGCCTAGACATTCTATCTAAAAGAGGTTTTTAAGGCAAACTTCAAGGACCAAGCAGAAGAGCACTTGCACAACTCAACCATGTTACTGGATAAAATGGTACGAAGTCAGGACAAAAACACAAAACAAAAACCCAACAACCTTAGGTCAAAGAGTGAGGGAAGTTCAGCTAAGGATGAAGGATGCCAATGACCAAAGAGTCATAATACTATGATGAGGGCTGCGGGGTCAAAACCAGTAGAAGAGGTATCTCACATCCAGTAACTCCCTTTCTGCAAAGGAAAATGTCGAGCTGCGACCAAAATCAACCATCCACGTTTGCTAAGCTCTCACCCCTACCTGCAACATCTCCACCGCCATCTTCTAGATAAGAACTAGCACCCTTTCTAAAAGGTTTTCAACCGCATCACCTCCTCCCAAAGCCCGGGAAGGCTGTGTTTCCAGGTCGCCCGCACAGCGCAAAGGGAACATCCTCCACCGCGCTCTTCTCCGCGCCTCCCAAATGTACGCAATGGGCCGCCGTCTTCCTTCCCCCACCCCGCCCCAGCTTTCCAAGGTCCGGCCGGCGAGGGCCACAAAGTCCGGTGCACGGGCCTCACCTGCAAACGCCGCGGATGCAGGGCTCCAGCCAGATGCGGTAGGCGGTCTCGATGTGCTCCTGCGACACCTCCTCGGGCCGCACAGTCTCCGCCCAGCGCCAGGCGGCCTTCTCCAGCTGCAGCCGCGGGGCCATGGCCTTGGCCCCAGGAGCGCCCCCCGAGCCCGGCCGCGGTTGCTGCCTCTGCCTCCCAAATGGGTTCCGCCGCCTGCCAGCGAAGAGGACCAGGAGGAGCTCCCTCAGCCAGCTGGCCAGTCAATCACCTGTACACGCCACTGCTGCCGCCGAGCCCGCCCGCGCCCAGCCCGCACGACCGGCCGCAAAGCGCCACCACCCCCCCAACCCCAACCCCCCCCCCCCGCCGGTCCGCGGAGGTTGGAAGCGGGCTCCCCACCTCGTAGGACGCATGCGCGTTCCCAGCAGTCCCTGCGCCTCCCGCGCGGGTAACCGGATGATCGGAGGAAGTAGGAGCGGTTGTCCGAGGAAGGATTGCCACGTCCTCAAGGCGGCAGTGGAGGAAACAGTCTCAGCTCGTTCAGAGTAGCGCCCTGCGTACCACTATTCCAAAAGCCTACGCCTAGAGAGGCCAGAAGGCTGACTGCTCTTGCCGGTACTTCCTCTTTTTAACGGAGAAGGATTCGCGCGAGAAGCTACCCAACGCACACGATAGGTCCTCCAGAACTGTAGGGTGGGGCCTGTTTACTGTAGAAACCGAGTGCCAAAGAAACCAGGGTCGGCTCTGTGAAACAATTTGAGCCTAGGTCGGTTCCGACTACTTCCTGAACTCTGCTGACGTCACGAGACGGTCTAGGTTCATTTGCTACCTAGAACGGGACTACGTGTCCCGGCATGCTTCTGCCACTCACCAGGCATGAGGCATGCTGGGGTATGTAGTCTTGGAAATTGGAGGGCTTAGCCGCAGTGCTGGGGGGGGGGGTTACCCCCAGGTGTCAGGGCGGGGCTGCGCATAGGGGTTTTTTTACCTGCGTTCTTCTATTCTTCTTCTGCACCCTTATCTGTGTGATCATTTCTTAGATTTTTTTTTCTTTCTGTGCATCTCCTCCTTGGCTCCAGGGTTTAAAAACATTTCCTTTCTGTATTGTACCTCTTGCCCCAGGATATGAAGAGTATCTTTAATCAAAACATTTTGCAAATGGTAAAGGGCAGTGCTACGGAGGATACTTTAAATTTCAATGGGCGCCCTGCAGGGATGTAAGGAGAAATTTCTGATGTTGCTGCTTACCAGCTGGATAACCTTGGACGTGTTCAGAAGACTTTAGTTGAAGGCCGGATAAAAAAGCCATCCCTGCCCTTAAGAGTGTGGGGAGGTGAGCAATAGAAACAAGAAGTAAGGCTGGGTGTGGTGGCACTGCCTGTAAGCCCAGCCTCTGGGAGGCTGAGACAGGTGGATTGCCCTTCTTTCCAGGCCAGCTTGGACTACACAGGGAGACCCTGTCTCAAACAAAACACAACAAATAACACAACAACAACCTAGAACTACATTGCAAGACCTGTCTCAGCTAACCCCCTCCCAAAAAAGCTGGTGAATGATATAATGGAAATTTGAATTTTGTATTGATTCTTCGGTCTGGGTCAAGGTCAGAGACAGAAACCTCTTGAGACTGTTGCAGTTATACAGGCGAACAATAATGAAACCTTGAACTGGGGCAATGTAGTAGCTATGGAATGAGACAAATTTGGAAGGTATTTAGGACAAAGAATTGTTGGGCCAGGGATTTAGCTCAGTGATTCCGCTGCCTGCCTCTAAAACACAAGGTCTGGAGTTTGATCCCTGGTACCAAAAAAAGAAAAGAGAAGAAGAATTGCTACAACTTGATACTGATCAGACTTGTGGGCATGTATATAGATAATCTCCAAGTGCTCTACCACTGGCTACAGCCACCGATCCTTTTTTATGTTTTTATTTTGAGACAGGGTCTGGTGATCCTACCCCCTCGCCTCCCAAGTTTCTGTAATTACAGCCACTCACCCCACCAGGCCTGTCACCAAACTGTCCAGAAAGGTCCCCAAAGCAGAGATGTGGAACCTTGACTCAACCCCCCTACGGGTCAGCTTGCAGGTTTGCTGACTTCCATCGCAGGAAAATAATTTTTACAACAAATCAGTAAGAGGCATAAAAGAGATTGATTAATCAGAATTTAAATTTAAGTGGTTTTTTTTTTTTTTTTTTTTGGTACCTGGGATCGAACTCGGGTCCTTGTGGTTGCACAGCAGGCAGCAAAACCACTGAGCTAAATCCCTGGCCAGAATTTAAAAAGTATTCACTCAAGAGAAAGTATTTTGTGGAGGTGGGAATATTTATTTTTCTTGAAGGGGTGAAAAACCTATGGAATTTGTGAAATTATAGGAAGTTCCCTCTTGATTTACAGAAAGAAAAAGATGGTCCAGGACTGGGGATTTAGCTCAGTGGTGCCTCGCCTGCCTCACAATCAAAAGGTCCTGAGTTCAATCCCTGGTACCAAGAAAGAAAAGAAAAGAAAAAGATGGTCAACCCACAGAAAGCAAATGACTAGTTTCACAAGTGACAGGCATGAGCCTGGCCTGTTTTTTAAAATGAGTGATCTAATATAGTTTGCCTAAATACATTCTTTGAAATCTCCTTTTTTTTTTTTTTTTTTGCTTTTTGAGATAGGGTCTTGCTGTGTAATTCAGGCTGCCCTTGAACCCACTATGTAGCACAGTCTGGCCTCAAACTTGCAGGGATCCTCTTGCATCAGGCTCCAGAGTGTTGGGATTATAGTGTTACTTTATCATAACATCAAGTTTCTACCCTTTATCAACTAAACTAATATGGATTTATATTATCTTCAAGGGATTTGAGGTGTGATGAGTTGAGGAAAAGAAGTATAAACAAACCTGTGGATTACAGGATAAACTTGTGTAACTTTGTGTCCTGAAGTTACAGTCTTCCTAAAAGGACAAGTTTTGAATTATGATTTTCCTTGTTTTTTTTCTGTTTATCTTTTATTTCTTTTATCCCACCTCAGGGCCAGGATTTCTAACCCTTTCTTTTATTTGCCCTTGAAGTCTGTGTCATAGACCTTTCCTCAGTGCTCACAGCTCCTTGTCATCCATTGCCTAAACTTAGCATATGGTGAAATTGTGAAGATTATTCACCCTGCTGTCACTACTATATGGTAGTTTTCTAAGGTGGGTAATTAAATATATAGAATTTCAGCTGGGTGTGATGGCATGTCTGTAATGCCTGTATTCTAGGAGGCTGAGGCAGGAGGATTTCAAGCTTGAGCCCATCCTGTCAATTTAGCAGCTTAGTGAGACCCTGTCTCAAAAAACACTAGGAATCTCAGCACTCAGGAGGCTGAGGCAGGAGGATCTCCATGAGTGCAAGGCCAACCTGGGCTATACAAGGAGTTCAGGGCCACCCTGAACTACAAAGCGAGACCTTCTCTCAAAAAAACAAAATAGGACCAGGGATTAGCTCAGTGGTTCCACCACCTGCTTTGCAAGCATAAGGTCCCAAGTTGGACCCCCGGTACCAAAAAAAATAATAATAATGCTGGGAATGTGGCCCAGTGGCAGAGCGCTTGCATAGCATGGGTTTGAACCCCAGTACCACCACTACCAAAAATAAATAAAAATTAAATAAAATGTAAAAAAGGCTGGGGCTCTAGCTCAATGTGAAGACCCTGGGTTCAATCTCTAGTGTATGTGTGTGTTTAATTTCTGCCAAATGAAATAGAGAACTATATATATGAAGGAGCAGATATAGAAGGGAGATAAGTTAAATTTTTAATAAATTGCAATTCATGCCGGTCGAGGACATTCATGTCTGGACAACAGAAATGAACCTGAATCTTCAGGGATGCCGCTCCTGCATTATGAATTTTTCAATATCTATTGGATCATTTGCATCAGTATTCCTCTTTTTTTTTTTTTTTTCAATTTTTGAGACATGGTCTCACTATGTAGTTCACATTGGCCTCAAACTCAAGGTGATTCTCCTCCTTAGCCTCCTGAGTCCTCATCAGTATTCAAATATGCTATAATTTCTCCCAAATGTAACCATCTCTTGACTCCCATATCCCCCTCCGGCTATTGTCCCATTTCTTTTTTCTTTTTTTTGGTACCAGGGATCGAACTCGGGTCCTTGCGCCTATGCAACAGGTGGCAAAACCATTGAGCTAAATCCCTGGCAAGGGCGGCTTCCTCCCCATCAGGGAATCAAACCCCGGCCTCCCGTATGACAGGCAGGGATACTCACCACTGTACTAACAAGGACGACTATTGTCCCATTTCTCTGTTCTCCTTTATAGCAAAACTCCTAGAATGAATTATTTATGTTTTTCTCCATTTCCTTTTCTCCAATTCCTCCTTAAACCTGTTCTAAATCAGGCTCTTGCCTCTATTACCCTACCAAAAACCACTATCAAAACACAAGATTACAACAAATTTAAATATTTTAATTGGCTTTATTCATAATTCTAGAATCAGACAATCCCTCACTCCATAAAACAGAGTAAGTACTCCAAAGGAGTTGAGCAGAGAAAGTTGCTTTTATAGACAGACAAGGGCTCAAAGAAGCATAAAAAAAGGATTAATTTTTTTTTTTTTTTTGAGTCAGGGTCTCACTATGCAGTTTAGCCTGGCCTCAAACTAAGAGCAATCCTGTCTCAGCCTCCCCAAGTGCAGGAATTACAGATGTGCATCTCCATGCCCAACCGATTAATCATTTCAAAATTACATCCTTCCAAGGTGGGGACTGGGAGACAGAACAGTAGAAAAATAAGAGTTGATAACATCTGGTTACTTCAGGTTATTTTTTTTTCTTTTTTATAAGAATTAAAAAAGAGTTTCATCATACCAGTTGAAACTGGTTTGCGGCAAATATGATTCTCCTGATTTCTCTAAAATTTAGATAACAACCAGTGTGGTCATACACTCCTATAAGCCCATCACTAAGAGAGGCTGAGGCACGAGGATTGCAAGTATGAATCTAGCCAGGCACAGTTTGTGATAGCCAAATCTTAGAAACACCTCACATGCTCATCAACTGATGAACGCATAAAGAAGACGTGGCTTTTTTTTTTTTTTAGTACCAGGGATTGAACTCAGGACCTTGCACTTTTGAGGCAGGTGTGCAACCACTGAGCTAAATCCCCGGAAACATGACTTTTTTATACAGTGGAGTACTACTCTGCCATAAAGAAGGATAAGCTTAAAAAAAAAAAAAGGATAAGCTTGAGACATTTTTAGCTAAATGGATGTTTCCTAAGACTATACTCTTAAGTGAGATAAATTGGGCACGCATGGCATAAATTTAAATACCACATTGTTTCTCTGGTGTGAGAAACCGAAAGTGTAAATAAGGACCAAAATGTATGATAGATAATGGGAAATGGGAAGACAATGTTCAAATGAGAAGGGGAACAAGGAAGGGAGAGAGGGGAAAGGGAGGAAAGGAAAAGAAAAAATGGAGACAAAGCTTTTGTAAATGAGGGTAAGGGGTTGATGGGAGGGAAAAAAGAATCAAGATATATCATGTACAGGTACAAATTCCCTATGATGAATGTTATCAATATGTATATATAAAATGTACCAATAAATGAATAAATTTTTTAAAATCCAGCCAGGGAAATTTATCAAGATCCTTCTCAAAAAATAACAAGGGGCCCAGGGATTTAGCTCAGTGGTTTCACCGCCTGCTGCGTAAGCGCAAGGACCCGTGTTCAATCCCCGGTACCAATAAATAAATAAATAGATA